TCAGGCGAACAATGAAAATCATACACATACCATCTGAGATGAAATTAGAGTAAATAAATTACAACAATTTTTCATTTTTGTGAGGAACAATTGTTTAATCTCATGACCCCTCAATCCCACTGCCATCACAGTGTTTGTGTTTGTATGTGGGTCAAAGACGAAGTGTGTTTCCAGCATCAAAAAAATAAAAGTATAATTTCCCCAATATTTTGACATTTTATTGTCTCAAAAGTTATTTGAAATATGAAAGTAGACAATTTACTTGCATTTAAGATGTTTTTATGCATTTAAAAATGATATTTGTAAATGTAATTTGATGCGGACAACAAAATGGTGACATCTGGTCTTTGACCCATGTATATCATTCAATGTGTGCAGGTGTATATGCGAATGTGTCTGAAAACAGTGGCAGAGAGAAACAGATAGGATTGAATATGACCATAGCCATAATGCTCACAGTTGTTCTAGTCTTAACTAGTACAAATACTCACAACATTAGGCAGAGGAGGCTCGATCTCTTGGAAAATCTGAGAACAGTCCACTGACCAGCTCTCCTCAGCTTTCCTCGAGGCCTGTTTTCCTGGTTGCCACAGGCTAAAATAAATATTAAATATATGTCACTAACTATTTAATGACAAGCTATCAAATCCTTATAATCCAGTGACGATAAAACCTACTCTTTGTAGATGAGGGGGAAAGCTGAAGATCGATGGTTTAGCTCCATCCCTAATCCTCACAATTTGACCTGTCCTCAAAGTCCTCCGGCTTGAAGTGTTCATTGCATAGCACGGAGGACACGCTTGCGGAAAACCCTTCTCTTCTTAGAGCTACTTCCCACTGCCTCCTCAACTCTTTGTTTTTGGGAAACCTTCAATGTGTGAGAAGAGTTAGCTAATGTCAGCTAGCCAACTACTAACGGTTAACGTTAAATTAGATTCATGCTGCTTAGCCGAAACGAGTAGGTCGGCACAAGAGTCAGTTTTGAGAAAAAAAAACGGCAATATAAATGAATATCTCGATTACGGGCAATTTAGTTTATGATACAGAATTTATCATACGCTAAAACTATATAAGAAAGAATGTAACATTTCTGGTTTCCTAGACTTTCAGCTAAATAGCGATATCACTAGCTATTAATAGTCTGACTCCGACGGTCAATTACTGTCAAGTTGTGTGAACATAATGTTTTAATGACCAAATACAACCAGATCAGTGTCAGTCAACAACTTTTCAGTCTTACCTGTGAAAAGTAATTCCCCGAGACCTATTTTCAATTGTGCGGCGGTTTGTACAGCCCCAAGCAGCACACGCATGAGGCATTTTCTCGAGTCCACTTATGAGAATGATGGAAAAGATGCCCGCACCAAGATGGCGGCGACGTTGACGTACGATCCAGCGGCCATTGAGGCGTCTAGGTATTTATATGTCTATGTTAGTAACCACTAGCCTGGAAAGAAGCGCTTGAGAATGGACAGTAATTTAAAATCATGCGACATTTTCTAAATGTTTTTATGCTTGCCAAGGATTAACAGTAAATTCCGGTCCTCGGATTCGATTGGCTGAGCGGTGTTAGTTCATCTGTCAGCGCTAGGACGTTTCACTATTTGTATCACTGCGCAATCTGAGTTTGCGTCAGTCGGTGATTTAGTATTTTCACTTAAGTGACTCTTTATGCAGTTAACATCATCGACATGCTAAGAAAGTGGAAACAAGTGACAGTGTTTCTGAATAAATCAACAAATAATTTAGTTCTACTATCTACATTGAATCATTTAGTATTCAATTAATAGGCTATTTCACTCACGATTGATCAAAATAACTGTTGCTCAAAGATGCGCGACGTTAAATCGTATCTCTGGAACTATTTTCGTTGGCGGAGCGATAATAGACAAACTAACTGGCAATATTTGTTCTGACATAAAAGTTATTCAGTAAAGCAATATCACGTGCAGCTGTGCTTTTGGTCTGAATGACAACAGGGCTGTTATTACAGCACCGCGATACATAATAGATAGGCTATGGAGTATTGAGGAATAGACTGAGTACAGGTGGTTTTAGGGTTGGTGCGGGATAATGTCCCCTGAAACCAACGCAGAATTTGTAATGGTTTTCCTCGTTATAATGGGAATTGTAGCCTACTGGTTTTATTGGAAACTGTAATAGCCTAGTGCCTGTTGGTCTCTTGGTAATTGGTCGCCTTCTATTGGTGGCTCGTTAAAACAACTAAATCCCAATTAAATATGTCCCAAAACACATTACAAACCATTTCTAGTGGGTTTAATGGTTAAAAGTTAATGGTTTGTAATGTATGGAAACCATTAGAATGTCTGTGATGATTTCTATTGTTTTTTTCAGCATGCCATAGCCTAATTTTGACAGAATAATGAGTAAATTTTATAAAATGATGTATCTGAGTTAAGAATATTCTAGAGACCCCTCTCTGTTTCACTTCAAATAGAAGCAATGAATGCTTTTAAACACTAATGGCAGATCAAATGTTTATCCCATATCTCGAATCAGTGGTTTCACTTTTCCTCGATTGTAAAATGAAGATTACACATCTAAACACGGTCTCAATCTGACATTAATTTCCAGTGTTGTTAGACCTGTGTAAGTGCAACTAGCCTACATCCGTGTGTTTTTTTTTTGTGTGTTTTTGGGGGCCCAATAATAATCTTGTCAAAGGGGTTTAGAAGTGTACTGAAAAAAAACCCACTTTATTTTTACATGGATTACCACCCACAGGATCTTGACAGATTTGGCACTTGCGTCGGAGCTCAGTTAACCTCAGGGCATTTATGTGACACAGCTCTAATTGGTTTTGTACAAAACTGTGCCATGATGCCATCTTCAAAGAATACAGGAGTTAACTGAGGATACTCAAAATCTTTTGCCAAACTCTACAGAATCTAGGGCCACTCAGGCTTTTAGTCCTGATAAGTTCTGATGATGAAATACAATCAAATATACACCAAATTTTATAGAGAATAGGAATGAAATATGGCAAATTGAGAGTGAATGGATGGATTGGGGGTGGGTGGTCACAAATGCTTCATGTTTTATCAGGTTCTCAAATTTTGTCTCTTTGTAAATGTATTCTGTTAATGTACTGCAGAATATTCATTTAAAATATCGACAATATTTTAAAAGAATAATATTAAGCTAATTGTAATCACACGATCTAAGCTGTTTTGAGTTTGGTGTGTTACTATGACCTCTTCTGGTAATTTTATGTCGCTACAACTAACTCATACTTTCAATGTTTTTACGCATGCTGGACATTTTAGCAGGAATTTAATTACATCTGGTGTAGTGGTTTGGAATATGGAGGATGAAACCTATTGAGGACGAAATCTGCAAAAACAATAAATGAATAAATAAATGTGTGCATAAATACACGTATTCTTGTTTAAATACATAAATAAATAATTAAACGTGATGAAAGTAGGCAAATAAATAAAATAAATTGGTGGGCAAATAGAAAATGTATAAGGAAATGCTAAACTCATCCTAACTATTTTCCTTTGATCACTCATTTATTTCTGAATGTAGTTTCACATTTATTTTTCCCCTCTGCGCAACATGCTAATGAGAGGGTGTCAGTTATGCAAGAGTAGGTGGATGGTGTGTGACGCGCTTGAGCGTTTTCCTGCGCATGCGTATTAACTTCATCAGTCAAGGGGACTGATTATTATCTTACACTTTTTCATAGGGCTAGTTTTGTAGTTATAATCATGAGAGAGCTAAATCATAAAAGATTTTAAGTGGCCAATGTAAAATATTAATGCTTACATAGCTCTTAATTGCAATACTGAACCATTATTTGCTTAATAAACATACTTTTGTCACCTGTATTTTCTGTTCTGATAACTAATGGGAAAAAAACGGTCTGTTCCTCGATTAAACCACTTCATACCAGTTCTCAAGGATGTATATGAGCCTCTGTTTGTACAATAATAAATTGAGAATCAACTGAGATGTATGTACCCTTGTGTATGTCACTAATTTGGTTCTCCCGCCATACACAAGACCCCGACCAAGTCCATGGTTGACACCCTCTCATTAGCATGTTGCGCAGAGGGAAAATAAATGTGGAACTACATTCAGAAATAAATGCGTGATCAAAGGAAAATAAATGGAATGAGTTTAGCATTTCCTTAAATATTTTCCATTTGCCCACCAATTTATTTTATTTATTTGCCTACTTTAATCACATGTTTAATTATTTCTATATGTATTTAAACAAGAATTTGTGTATTTATACACACATTTATTTATTTGCATATTTATTTGTGTATTTATTTATTTATTGTTTTTGCAGGTTTCGTCCTCCATACTATTCATCATACAGCAACAAAATCGTTGTAGTATATAAAATTATTTTAGTTAAAAAAGGAGAGAAATAAGAGGAGAGAAATAAAAAAAATGAGTCAAACATGATAAATCCATTGAATCAGTTTAATGTCTTCAATCATATATTACCTAATATAATTGACTATGAAGTTAATGCAATACATGTATTGAGTCATTTCCATCTTATATGATTTCTATCTGAAGTCCATGCAGCTAAACTACGCATTACTCTAAAATAAGTGGTTGATGATTGATAAATATGCTTTACATTTCCACAGGTCCTTTAGACACAACATCAGGAAGTCCAACACAAACAAATCTGAATATGAAATTGTATTTATATAAGATATATTATGCAAATAACATTTACTAAACTTCAGCTTATAATGCCTCAGAGTGAATAAGAAGTACAGTGAGATTTTATTCAACATTTTCTTTTTTTGATGTGTAAGCCACTTTCCTCATTACTATTATTGTAATTTTCATAAACTGAATTTTCTCTTCAGACTCTCTGGCATTATCTGTAATGGAATTTCTTTGTCATTCCTAAAGGACATATAAAATAAATGTGATTAATACTTGCAGTTTCATTTTTTTATATGTAATGATATGTGACATATGAAAGAATAGATAATGCATTGCCTGAATTATATTTATTCTTAAATCAAAGTACACAGCACAGTAGCATTTCTAGCAAACATGCTTCTGTTACATACGTTGTCATTCTCTCAAGCTTCGACTCTGTGTAAACACTCCTCTTCTTCATCACGTACAGTAGCATAATGTCACAGATGTAAGAACCCTTGGGGATAAACAAACTTGGTATATAGATTGAAATAGATGATGTATGATGTATGTATCTGAATATTTACATACTTACAGCAGCCATTAAAGTCAGAGCAGAGGCTATGTTGACAATCGTAGGAATAATACTAAATTTTCTTGCCTGGAAAAGACTCATATATACATGTATTAAAAGCATGCATTAGATCACTTGTGCATTCATGTCTTTAGCATTTGAGTCACATACCATTCCAAACACCATGATTTCCAAATGAATTCCAAAAACTTTGTAAAATGTTCTTCGCCTCTGTCCTGCAGCAGTGAAATAGCGAGCAAACCTGAGAAGACAATTAATGGCAATACTGAGCATAACAACATTCTGTCACAATACGCTGGAGCACGGGAACGAGGAGACATGGAGATTTCACAAAACGAGAGTCTTTAATGATCCAATAAGGAGACACAGAGCACAAGGATGACGTTTACAACGAGTAGACCCGACAGAGGAGAAATGCACAGACAAGAACTTATAAACACAGGACAATTACCAAACACAGGTGCACAGAATGACTAATTAACTAAATGAGGACAGGAACATGACCAAATAAGGCAGTGGTTCCCAAACTTTTTCAGCCGGCCCCCCTTTTGTAGAGAAGAATATTTTCAGGACCCCCCTCCTCCTCCCCCCTCGTGGTTCCCGAACTTTTTCTGCCAGGCCCCCCTTTTGTAGAGAAAAATATTTTCAAGCCCCCCTCCTCCATTTTTATTTATTTATTTATTTTAAAATTTATTTAGAAAGTCTCTTATGCTTACCAAGGCTGCATTTATTTATTAAAAATACAGTAAACACTGTAATATTGTGAAATGTGTCAATTTAAAATATCTATGAATGTTTTAACATATACTGTACTCCTGTGATCAAAGCTGAATTTTCAGCATCATTACTCCAGTCTTCAGTGTCACATGATCCTTCAGAAATTATTCAGATATGCTAATTTGCTGCTCAGTAACATTTCCGATTATTTTAATGCTCAAAACAGTTGCTGCTTCATATTTTTGAGGAAACTATTTTTTCATGATTCTCTTATGAATATACACGCACCCTCTCAGACATGACCTTGATTGCAAAATTATATATATGATTTGAAATATTGTGATTAAAGTACTACTTAACTAGCCTACTTGCCGTCTTAACTTGTTCGGCTTCATATACCCACCTTTGAACTGGTGAATCTAAGGGCGAGATATGCCTAGTCATATTTTCTTGTCTTTTCACCACACTGGACGCACAAAGTGAACATTACAAATCCAATGGTCCTTTATGTAAGAGCGCTGGAGATCGTCAGAAATAGAACGGGGCATCAGTTTACTGTCATGAATTTGTCGTGTCGCGTTGCGCCGCATCCACTGATAGAACATCACTGGGTTCTATTTGCTTTTGTCACGTTGTGCCGTGTAGACACCGTGTTTGGGTATTTGTGAATATTAAGTATATTCATAATCTGCTTTATGTTTACCTGGCACTGGCAGTATTTTCACAAATTTGTAACTTACATGCTTAGAGCAGAACCATGCATCGTTCATTTATATTTCTACATGGCTCCCTGCAATACAACTCTGATTCTTCAATCGGGCTTCTAGTGGTCTGTTATTGATACAACCACAACTGCTACAACTGATAACGGAGCGCTCAAGCGGGTACTGCAAGTCATGATGAGGTAATTAAAATAAGTCAAATTAATATTTTGCGTTCAATTATTTACTTATCAGGCAATGATAAGCGGGAAAATTACGCAGTGTAGTCTTTATCACCCTGCGGAGGTTTCTTTTGCAAAATAATCTGCTGAATGTACATTATCCCTCAGCCTTGCCGCGCCCCCCGGTTTGGGAACCACTGAAATAAGGGAACACAGGAACAGAAACAGGGGCAAAACATAACAAAACAGGTCCATGATCCTGACACATTCCATGTCAAATGAAACAAATTTTAGAAACTTCCCTTGCTCAAATTTGTAATTTTGTTAATATTTTTTTCTGAAGAAAGACAAACATAAATTGTGATGAAATCCTAAATATTCAAAGCCATTCATGAATATTTACTGAGTAATCCACAATTTTGTAAAGGGGGTCAAAATTACTATTTTCACCAGAGATTTGGTGCCAAATTACAGGGAGAAAAACATTATTTTGGCATGCACATAGGCACATTCTATGCAACTAGGGCTGTGAATCTTTGGGTAGACAGCGAATCGATTTGATTCACGATTCATAGGTTTTCGATTCGATTCAAGAACGATTTTTGCACATTAAGAACGATTCAATTCGATTCGATTCACAATTAAATTTGATTACACAGGATTATTTAAATGATTCCCCTAAATTCTTTAAATGCTTAGTCAGTGGGCAAATTACACAGCAGCCTTTATGGTTAAAAAACCATGGGTTAGAGAAAGAAAAAAAAAAAGAAAAAAATTTGTCCATTGTTAGATGCTAGTTTAATGATGCTATGGCATGACATGGCATATGTAGAAATGTATGTAAGCCAAGATTTAAAAAAAAGAGCTTTAAAAGTATTATATAGGCTAACATTTTGTCACACACCATCATTTCAGAAGTGACAGAAATGTCAATGTACATATATATACTGTATACTGTATATATACAAGGAATTATTTTCTTATCTTACTTTGAATTTGCTATAAGAAATCCTTTTTTGTGATAATTTCTTTTGATAATTTTATGATGATTTTATATACTACAAACAATTATTTCACTTTTCTGCACAGAATTAGGTAGAAAATATACTTTATAGTTTCTGTACTGTAATAAATAATATGTCAATTAGCACTGCATTATTCATACATTTTATTTATTTATTGTGTTTATCGTCTTAACGTTTCATCAGTTCATTCTGCTTTTGCAGCGATAGATACCTTTGTCCATATTAGGCATTTCCTAGCACGTCTTAAGTTCTTTGATCGCGAGATCAGTGCGAAAACTTCTTTATCTCATTTTCATAAAATAAAATGCTATAGTATTTAACTTTTCCTCTCCATCGGCGAATGATTATCCTGAAAGAAAATGCGCCCGATGTCTCTTTGCTATAGCAACAAACGCTACTTTCATGCATCTGATTATCAGACAAACCTCACGCTCTTATTTCAAGGTTGTTGTTAATTCATTAGATTCTTAGCATTTTATATCGATTACTGTCCGAAATCGGCTATTCACGATTCAAAAATCATGTTTCAAGATCGATGCATATGCATCATCAGGGTTTGTAATCGATGCATTGATAAAACGGGTGAATCGTTACACCCCTATATGCAACTGTTTTGATAGAGGGAAACAAGATACATTTCTAGTTTCAACGCAATGCAGAATGGCCCACATGTATTTTTTGATCACTGAAAACTTACAATTTAACAATTTACTCATGGAGCCACATTGCGATCCCCATATCACGATGCAATTTCCTCCACCCTCCACCTGGCTCTTACCCACCTAGAAAATAAAGACTCCTATGTTAGAATGCTGTTCATCGACTTCAGCTCAGCATTCAACACAATAATCCCACAACAATTCATCAACAGACTAAACCTTCTTGGCCTAAACACCTTCCTCTGTAATTGGATCCTGGACTTTCTAACAGGAAGACCTCAGTCAGTCCGTGTCGGCCTCAACCCCTCCAGCACTACCACACTGAGCACAGGTGCCCCACAGGGCTGTATGCTCAGCCCGCTGCTCTTCAAACTGCTGACCCACGACTGCACTGCCAAGTTCAGCTCCAACCACATCATCAAGTTTGCTGATGACACAACTGTGGTAGGTGTCATCAGCAACAATGATGAAACACCCTACAGAGAGGAAGTGGCCCTGTCCCTCTATGTGAGTAAGACAAAGGAGGTTGTGATGGACTTCAGGAGGTGTGCAACTCGGAGTGTGCTACACATAGGTGCGTGGGCTGAACAAACCACCTGTAGAAACACCCTAAATGCACCAGACACTTTCTTATAAACACTCCATGTTACAAGAACTTAAAGACTTAACAAATGTTTACTTGTGAAAGCACCACAATTCATATTGCACTATTTGCCTCTTAACCTTAAAAACCTCTTTTGCACAATATCATGCACAGTTATTATAGGGGCACCATTGAGAGTGTGCTGACCAGCTGCATCACTGTCTGGTACGGGAACTGCAGTGCTGCTGACAGCAAGATCTTACAGCGGACAGTGAACACAGCTGCAAATATCATCGGTGCCCCTCTCCCCTCCATTCTGGACATTTTCCTTGCACAATGCTCCAGTAAAGCCACCAGTATCGTGAAAGACCCCACCCATCCCTCCCACAGTCTCTTTCAGCTCTTGCCATCAGGAAGATGGTACTGGAGCTTCAGAACCCGCTCTGCAAGACTGCTCAACAGCTTTTCATTGTTCTTATGTCTAGTGTTGTATGTTTATATTTATGTTTATTTATAGCACCGTGGTCCTGCGAGACAACATTTTGTTCCACTGTATGTCCACACATGTAGCGGAATGACAATAAAGCTCGACTTGACTTGACTTGACTTAAAAAAGATTATAGACCTACCAATAAATAAATAAAACACTGTAACTTCCCCACTGTAACTTGGCTCAGAATCTCAGGTGAAAATCATCACTTTGACCCCCTTCTATAAAACAGTGGATTACGCAATCAATATTCATCCATGGCATTTCGTATTTTGGCTTTCTTCTTCATTTATGTATTTCTTTCACCAGAAAAAAAGACCAAAATCAAATGGGACCTCAACTGGGACCTCAGAAAATGACACAAAATGACTCAACTTCAAAGAAAAAAAGAAAGAAAGAAAAAAAGAGGACCCAGATTGATTTTGACTAGTAAAAGAGCAGTGTGAATGTACCTGAAGTCAAATCCGATTTTTTCTGACAATTTGCCCAGACGTACAAAGCTGTAGTGAGGACGACAGTCTGAGTCTGCATCAAGGTCACAGAGCCACTCAATCAGAACCCCAATTGAACCACCCTGGCATTATAATATCAAAATAATAGATTCAGTGTAATAAGCAAATGTCTATTAAATTAAATGTTGCCTCACATTAAAACTACATTCACTATTCTCACCTTTAGAGCCATTTCTTCAAACTTATTTCCAGTTTTGTTCACAATATCTCCCAGGCGAAATATAGGACAGTATGGGCAAACAGTTTCATCATACAAGCAGTTTTTTAAATACAATGATCTGTTTTCCTTTGGAACATTTGATCTGAGAAGGAAAACAACATTTGAGATAATTGAGTGGTAATACAGTAAATAGTTTTATATAGTAAAGTTTTGTGTGCTTTTTAATTAACATAAAAGCAGACAGGGTTTACACTTCATTACCAATGGATGCATCAGAGTGAGTTTCTTACGCTGAGAAGTTGAACTGGGAAAATCTGATGAAGTTTCTTATGTACAAAGTGAAGTTTTCAGCTTCTCTCACAATGGTGGCTGGGCTAAAAAATATGTCTCATGGTGACCTTACTTTTTATTTTAAACTTGATATTGACAATTACTTTATTAATTGCATACACTGTCTGGGATGAACATTGTAACTGTACTTTAAAGAGTGAGAGAAAATATTCTTACTCTGGATCCCTGTGTATTTCAGTGGGACACCAGCCATATATTTCACAAGTGCCATTGTGTGTTTCCAAACAAATGCCAGTTTTAATTCCTAAAGAGAATGAAATCATTTAGTAGGTTTTTGCATATTTGTAAACAGCAAAATTGCAGATGGAAACTGTATTATGCAGCATGGCTTATTATGCTAGCATTATACATTAACTGATTATCAGCTTACTTTGCGGAAAAAAAAAATATTAAGCCGTTTTAAATCATACCGTTTCCAGCCCTAACAGCCTCTCCCACTGTGCAGTCTTCATCCTTAGAGCATGTGTTATTTAGTACTTCTGGGTTCTAAAAAAACAAAACAAAAAGATGCCATGGGATAAGAATTTAAAAAGGTAATTCTAAGGTAAAAAAGGTAATTGTGAGATATAAACAGAGCTGTGTACCTACAAAATTACAGACTAAATTGTAGTTAGTAACAATCTAGGTTACTCATTTTAGGTAATGTATACTTTTTAGATTACTTTTTTTTTTTTATCTAACTTGTTTTAAAACTACAATTACAATACCATACTGATATACAAAAGCAAAGAGAAAGAAAATATATTCCATTTTTTGATGTCAACATACAGTAATAAAATTTTATGAAACCAGGATTTCCCAAACTGGGCTTAATTCAAGAACTGCAGTGGGCTTGTGAGTTGTTAAAAAGCGAATTAATTAAATCATAAAAATGTAAAATAAATTATTTAAAGATTTGAACACTAAAAATAGAAATATTTAATTTGTTTACTTGCATTCAATGCAACCATTTAGCGACATTGAACTGTAAACATGCAAATGTTTTGTTAAATTATTGAAATATTACAATAAAAATACAATAAACAGCTGGTAGGGACTACAACGAGCTACTTTCTGGGTTAGTGACATCACAAACCCTGAAATTTACATAAACCCTGCCCCCAGAAACACTCAGTAGGGGGCATGTTGGGCTGCTATAGAGAAGAGGAAGAGTTGTTGTATTTTTTTTTTATTAAGCCAATTTTGGAAGAGTTGTTGTAGTAGAGTGTTGTTAGGTCCGCTAGCCATTTAGCAAAATGCTAATTCATCCGTCAAATGCCTACAAACACATACATAGGTTTTTTTTCATCCCACCAGCAAACTCCAAATGTTGGTGTTTATATGGTCAGTGTAAACTATTCCTGGATTATAGCATTTATGCTCGTTTAGCTACATGCATGCTAAATATGGTTCTGTGTTTAATTTGGCCACTGTAGTAAAGCCATGGTTAGTCTTTGTAATGGGCTCGTAGTTCTGAAGACAGATATTTGGCTACACTCGTTCTACAAAGACAAAACTAACGGTGCACTAGCAATCGCTATAGATCCGCAGTCTGTAATCAAATAATCCCTTCGAGGAAAGTAGTAAACTTTACAACCAAAGCTTTAGTAAGGATAAAACCATATATCAAAAGATAACATAAACAGCAGTAGCATTTACAAATAACAGCGTATCTAAAAAATATGAGACAACTACAAAAAACATACTATTCTGAAACATCTTATAAAAGTCGTGCTTGCATATTTTCTGCTTGATCCTCTTCAATAATATCTATCTCTGGGTCTGACTCGGGCTCAAATTGATAAGGCAATATTGAAGCCATTGTTTAGAATACACTGGCAGTGCATTCCAAACGGGATATATCGCCCTCCGAAGGGCACTTTGGAGTGAAAACAAACATGGCCACCATATTGAAGGGTCGTTCCAAACCAAAGTGCTCATAACTGGACACTTCAAAGGGCCCTTCGAAATGAAGGATTTCGAAGGGTACAACTGATGGACACTTCGATCCCCCATGATCCTTTGTGCGGATTTTTTCCACGATGACGGCATCTCCATATGGGCACGGGATGATGACGCAGAAGGGCACTTCAAGGAACAGTTGTTTGGTCCCCTACACCATTCAACCCTTCGAAGCTCTCACTCCGGAGGGTAAACCCTTTGAAGGAATTAGGGCATAGGGATGAGCCTTTCCAAATGGAACGCAGGGCGGGAGCACATGCAACTACCCGTTATGGTAAGAGGCATGACGTCTCCAAACAACGAGCACTATAGCCGGTTGGCGAATTACAATGCACTTGGCCAGCTAACCAATCTGGGCGTTCACACCATAGATATATATACGTAGATGCCTCATTAGCGACTGTTTCTATGGGCCGCTATACGTAAACCGTCTGCCATATTGTAACGGTCAACTTGACGTCATTCACCATAGTAATCACTGAATATTCGAAAGATGCCAGAATCCTGCACAGAACGGCTCAATGGCTCTATGAGAACCTACAGTATGGTGAATGACGTCAAGTTGACCTTTCCAAGATGGCAGCCGCATCTATGTGCCTGGAGCCGTCGAATGGGGAATCTGTACATATCTATGCTTCACGCCATGTTGTAATTACCGTAATTCCGAGATGAAAACACGTGACATTCTACTCGGAGCTGAATTATGTGTTTCTATGTCAACACTATCAACGCCAAAGCCCTCACATGCTCCAAAACTCGTAATTACAACTTGAAAACTCTTAATGTTCTGAGAGTTACGACTTGGACCAGTGACAGCTGTACCACCTGACCGCCGCCAGATTCATTTAGGCACTACTAATGCCGAGTTCACACTGCACGATTTTCAAAGTAGTTGGATCACCATTGTTTTCACACTGCACGACTATCTGGGGTAGCATTCAGTTGCTGCTGTGTTCACATTGCACGATGAATCGGAGACAGGAGGTTACACACTGCTTGACTTTACCACAGGAAGAATCGCCGACAACGCTGTCTGGTCCGCAAGCTACTTTTCATATAACTCCTCCCCAAACTTCCCGCTGCCCTGTATCTTGCTCTCTCATTGGCTGTAGGTCATTGCTGACGTATTTTTCAGTCAGAACTCATTTCACACAGCAGGATTTTGAATCGCCGACAGGTCCAGATATTTAGCATGCCAAATATTTCACGGGCGTTGACGATTCCCTCAGATCGTATCTTTGATAATTCACACTGCGTGATTTTCACTCACATGAATGAGCACCGATTTGCCTCAGATTTTGGGCATTTGTCTGCGATTTCGCAAAACCTGTCAGCGAGTGAAAATCAGGGGTTAAGAACATGGAAAGCTATGAGTAAAATGTCACGTGTTGTCATCTCAGAATTACGGTAATTACGACATGGCGTGAACGCAGCATCATTAGCCCATTGCGAATTTCTGAGGGAGGATCCAGGAAGTCAACAGACCATTTTTACGAGAACGGAGAAACATCGATTCGCTACAGGAGGTCTTTATTCACCCCCGGAGCCATGTGGAGCACTTTTTATTATGGATGTGCTTTATTTGACTTCTTTTGGACTGTTGAAAAAAAACACCCGCCCATTGCCATTATAAAGCTTGGAAGACCAAGGACAATTTTTAAATTGAACTGGATTGGATTCATCCAAAAGAAGAAAGTCATATACACCTAGGATGCCTTAAGGGCGAGTAAATGCTAATTTTCATTTTTGGGTGAACTAACCCTTTAAGCAGCAGCAATATAAGACATTTTCATATGAGATTAAACTACATATCACTGTAAAAACTGCTATATAGCCTGTGACAAAATAATTTCAATGTAATTTTTTTGGCCAAGTTGTGCACACCTATATGTAAATAATTTTAAAATAACAAACGTTTATAAAATTATATATAATTAAATTAAAATTGTGTGTGTGTGTGTATTGGTAGCCCCAAGCACCTGTTCAATCAACACCCAGTTAGTTCTGTAGTTCTGTCTCTAAATGCCCTGAGTCTCTTTCTATATGAATGGCCCCTGAGACTCACAACACATAAGAGATGGTGGTATGGAAATCGACACATAAACCAGCAAGCCTATAAAAACTATTAAATCTGCCTGATAATGTGGAAGTAAAAGCACTGTAGTGTTTCACTATCAGTTCATACGAATAACCACAGTGCTCTCACATGCTCTTACACTAATGGCCTGAATGGAACACGACAGATACCAAGCTGAATGTAATCAGCAACTAATGCAACAATATCAAACAGTTATATGATTTTTCTTAAAGAATATGTCACAGAATAAAAAACAAATATGTTTTCATATAAATATGAAATATAAATGCTGTATATAAATGTTTTTAGAGAACAGCGGATGAGTTAAATGTTATTGAAAGTGCAGATGTGCGATGTTAATCGTAAAAGTTTTAATAAATGGTAAAGAGAAAATTTCTTGTCTTACCTCTGAACAGTTGCCTAATTTTTGGTTTGGTGTCTCGATGAAATTGGTTGCTATAGAAAGAAAGGTCTCACCCTGGAAAAAAAAATTAACCAAAAGACTTATTATTGAAGCAAATTAATGATAAAGCAAATCATTATGAATATGATTGACAATAAACTTATCAGAACTAACTCAAACTTTTTTGACTACGGTTTGGTTCGACTCACCTGGTTGGGGAAAACATAGTCCTCTGGTCCCCACAAATTTGAATCTGTTGTGTTGACACGTGCAACTCCTTTAACTTTAGTTACCACAGAACTCTCGAGAGTATCATCTTTTACCTGGTATCCTTTGTTTTTCAAAAATACCCATCTGTTGAGGTAAAATGTGTTTAAATATTTGCCATCAAACCAGTAGAAGCTAAAAAAAATTGTACCTGTTTCACAGCTGGAATCATCACATAAGCTGATTTTACCTGAAGCTCAAGCAAAACTTTTGATTGTGGTTAGACTAAAATTAATTATAGCTCTTACCCAATGAGATATCCCATGATAGTGAGTTGAAATATTCTGTACAGAAGTCCGATTTTCTTATTTTGCGTGCCCACATATCTGACTGTTGTATATTCAAAGAGAAACAGTAATCGATTTTGTTTGTTCTGCCAAGCCATTCCTGCTCCTGC